CATTCTTTAATAACAAGGTCTTTAAGGGGCTCCAGAAATAGCATCTGACTTAGATGGGAACCAGTTACAAAGCACTGAGGCCTCTTAACCCTCTGTAAGGGGTCTCCTACAGCATAAAGCAGATTAGAGGGATCCCCAGGTGACACAAAATCCCTGGGCCTACCCACTTGCCTGCCATTTCTCTGGCTGCAGAAGCAACCATCAGCAGCTCTCCCAACACAGACACTTCCAGGTAAGGCAGATGGGCTCCCTGCACCCACTTCTCCCTAACTGCTACTGCTCTTGTCATCTGCCTTCTCCTTGGACTCCCTCTCTTGGATTCCTGGGTCAAGCATGTGGAAGGGGTCAGGATGGACTAAGGAGAAGGAACAATATACCCCAGCTACTGTTTTGGATGTGGATGCTGAACTTTTAGATCTGTACTAGAAACAAGGAGATACTGCCTTTCAAAACTGATATAATGGAACAATTCAGATTACTGAAGCTGAAGCAGGTACAGGAAGCTTTGTAAAACGATACAGAAAAATCAAACCACTATTTCTTAACACAGCTACTCAGATCCAGTGCTTATTTCATGCAATTACTCAGCAGTCTACTGACATCTTAACAGAGAGCAAGCAAGGAGGCCCCAGGACTCGAAACCGCAAACTGGCCAGGTGCAGAATCCGTGTGCTCCGAGAGGATCTGTTACACCAATTACCTACTTGGTGGTTAGAGACAGTCTTGCAGGAATTGTGCTTCACACACTATCCACAGCAAATCATTACTGCATATGGTATCTATTTACTAACATTCTACATATGGATGAACTATACCTTTATATCCATATATTTCCAGGATTTTCTATGTCAAAACTATAGGAGGAAGAAAACGGGAATCTTTGCTTTTGTACCTAAGCACTGGGTTGCAGCTGATCCTTTAGACAGTTGCAAAAATCCATGGAGTTCCATATCCAAGCACAAGGACTTCCCAGACTCACTTTGACTAACTTTGGTTTATGCTACGTTTCATTGCTGGCAGTGGAACTGTTGTACCTACACAGCCAGCACAAGTGGTTTTAACATCCATAACTCATAAAATGCCACATGCAGATGTGCTTTCACAGTTTACAACTCTGCTGAATTGCCTTCTCATAATCTGAAGAGTGCTCACACAGTTCCAACCGCATAGCAAAATTATTTCATAATAAGATAAGAATCTCTGCTGCAGCAGATGAAAAACATTTGTTTGGAATAGTTCAGCTACACTGCAGATGAATGGCCTATTGCATTATGTATATCCTGATTACAGAAACTGGAGAATACAGTGGGATCAAGTTACCCATGTTCTCTGGTCTTATTGGCAGTTTTGGGTATTCATTCTATTTTTCTACTGGATCCCCATCTAATCTAAAGATGACTAAGAAGACAGCAATTCAGACCAAGACAAATTTAAAAGCACAGGAATCCAGGATATTTGTAGTAGGGCACATTCATTTTTAAAATATGGAGGACCATATTAATAATGGTTAATAAAAAACTAATTTAAAAAAAAATAGATTTTAATCACATATATAGTTTAAAAGCTGACATCATCAAAGGTATGAACATTGCAAGCAAGAACATAAATACATTTGATCATGAAACAAGTCCTGGCCAGAAGTGGAAAATTATGTTGCTCACTCTTGCAAAGATGTTGTGGGAAGGGTGCAGCCACAAGATGTCCAGATCACTAAGGGGACAGGCTGAGTGAGCAGTTAAAAGGAGATTTTGGATAAATTACATAATCACTTAAACAATAGGACTGAAGCAGCTGAATCCTGTCCCTGTGTTTGCCTTTGACTAGTTTCAAGGCTTCTATTTTCCAAGTCACTTATGCCATTCCATTTATTCAAAGTTTGATGTTAAAGTTCCAGCTGTTTTTTTACTTCATTAGCAGTACTCAAATAAAACCAAGAGGATTAATAGATGTTTTGGCAACATAAGGCTGATATAAAATCTATGTACTTGATGTTACTTATACTCTGTCCCAAAATAATCAAAAGGAAGGTAGTTCAAAGCCATCTGATTACCTTGTTGGGGACTTCTGTCTCAAGTATTTCTGAGAAGAATAGATGCAATTTACCTTAGCACCTTTTTCTGTACTGTCATGTCTCTGCTAAACACACCATTTGTATCCATCTTCTCCTCACTCATTTATGACTCCTAAAGGTGAAGAGCGGACTTTCAATGAAAAAATTGCTTGAACCACTTAGTCTTGAACCTAAGTGGACTGTAACAAGTGTGGCAGCAAATTTTGCTCAGCTAAGAGCAGTATTAAATCCAGAAATGGAAAGGAACTACCTGAAACTGTTTTCCAGAAGAAATTGCACAGGAGACCAGGATGACAACTGAACCTCAAAGAGTGGGTGCTTTTCAGTTAAGCTCCTCATAACCCATGCATTTGCAGCCTTTCCCTTCCCTGATATGCCAAACAAAGCATCTACTCAATTTACTCATTCCTTTACATGGTTACTAGAAGCCACCAGGGCTACTGTCAAGGGGCAAGGACAGCCAAAAGCTCTCAGTGTTCAAATGCATCTAGTGGAGCACAGAGTACCCCTTACATCACAAGGTGTTGCTGCATTTATGAATGCATCTGCTGCAATAAATGAACCCTAACCCCACCTTCCGTTGCCCCAACATTTAATTAGACAACACATTAGAAATCTCTAATGTGTTGCCTAACTAAAGCAATCCAACCACCTACAATAAGAGCTATATTCAATTTAGGGAGAAAAAAGTGTCAAATTATACCAAAAACTCTCCATACAAAACATTGCATCACCTTCACCACTTTTTATTTTGACCCCTATTGCTACAAGAATCCTGTTGTGTTATTTTTTCTGCCTGTTCAGAATTCCTATTTCTTTCACAGCATCTTACTAAACAGTGGACAGTGGAGCTGCCAAATACAAATACATGTATTTAACTTAGCAAGTAAAAGAGGGAAGTGGTAAGAATAGAAATTGTCTTTAAGGAAGGAATTAGCATGCCTACAAAAAAAAAAAAAAATCCAAACAACTCCACAACAACAAAACAAGCAGCTTCAGCCTAGTTCCCCCTTCTAGACTTTCTACCATATCCTGACATTTTAAATACCATCTGCCAGAAAGGCAAGTTCCTCAGATGTGATATCTCTTTCTTTCTTGGGGGGTTTTCTTCATTTAACAGAAAATCATGGAAAATCCTCCTCCACAATTTAAATCACTAAGTTTCATCCACCTTTTCCTTTAAAACACTATGTAACTGTTTGAGTATGGGATGCAATTTAATTGAATTCTTCCGTTAATGATCTCTGCTGCAGACAGAGTATAAAGAAAGACTCTTTACACTGGCAGAAGTATGTTCGTTCTCATGCTGATGCACACATATTTAAATGTGCCCCAAAGGGTTTCTAAACCAAGAGAGTGTACAAAAAAGAGAACTGCATTTGTACTCCAGGGCCTTTGTCACTAAAGAAAAGGAAAAAAGAAGGAAAAAAAAAAGTAGCATCACTACAGGAATTCAATTTGATTCAGCGATTCTAAGCTTGACCTTGCAATTCTGGAAAGTTAGAATCTTCACCTGCATTTAAATTCCTGCAAGCAGATAGTTGTGCTGCCTTAACTGGCAGCTCTCAAAAGTTGAAGACATCCACCTTTGGTGTTTGCAGCTGACAACTGAACAGCATTTTCTTCTGTGTGTACACCAACCCTCATTTTCTGTTGCTTGTAACCAGGCCTTTTCAGAAGAGTGACTTTTCTCCTATCTTGGCAGAGACATATGGCTCATTACAGCAAACCAACTTTGATGTTTCAAAGGTCAGATTTTTTTTTTTCCGGTAACCAAAGAAAAAAAGCCTTTTTTTTTTTTCCCAAAACCATATTGGGAAGACACATTAATTATTACACTTCTGTCACTCGGCAAAGAGCACAAGGAGCTATGATCAAGTTTTTAAGTTCCCTCCTGGGAGCTCCTTTGAAAACTCCTAGTTTGATTACTATGATGTTTGTACAAAAGCGAGGAATAGCTGCCCTGTTCCACTATCGAAGGGAAGGCAGCAGGGAAGAGTTTATGAATTGTAATTACCAGCTTACCCACTCAGGCTCCTTCCTAAAGCAGGAATCATTCATCATCCTCTTTTGTGCTACCGATTCCTTAAAAGGCCTACTCAGCTTTAACTCCCGGGTATCCCACCACAGCCAGGCTCCCCAAGAGCCCACGCCAGGGTTACCTAGATGGATTTCAAAGGGAACATCGAGCCGCTTGCCTGCCTTATTTGGAAAACCCCAACTCTGCACGGCTTGGCACAACCTCAGCGGCCGCGCAGGGCTCCATGAACCTGGAGCTCTGACAGAGATTTAACGAGAAAGATCCTCAGATTGCAATGAACTCCCAGCACCAGCAAGAAACAGAAGCGAGAATAAAAAGAGAGGGCGGGCTGACAAGAGCCCAGCGAAAGCTGTCGAGTTAAAAACAAGCCCAAAAGTGCCCAGCGAGGAGCCCTCGGGAGGGCTTTGCGAGTGTTTAGCCCAAAAATCTTCAGGAAGGAGGAAAAGGGAGGCCGGGGAGTGAGCGAGGGAGCCGGCCCGACCCCGGCGGGCGAGTGGCCAGCGGTCCCGGACACCCGCGGCCAGCAGCCCCGGGACCGCCGCCGCACACGGCGCTCCGGCCGCGCTCGGGCGGGCAGGGCGGGGGCGGAGCGGCGCCGGGACGCCCCTGCACCCCCGCGGCGGCCGGGAGGCCTATGGGGGCGCGGCGCCGCCGCCGGAGCGCCGGCAGCCCCTCCCCGCCGCTGCCTGCGGGAGTGGGAATAAAGACAGATAGCGGGGCAGGCACCGGCCGGGCGGGACGGAGCGCGCACAAAGTTTCCTGCGGAGCCCGCGGGCGGCGGCAGCGATGCCCGTGCTGCGCGGAGCGCTGGGGCTGCGCGGGCGCCGCCGGCCTTAGGGAGCGAGAGCGGCGCGGGGCGCGCAGCGAGCCCCCGGCCCGTCCTCGCCTCCGGGCGGCCGGGAGGAAGCGCCGCGGGCAGGGACGGGGGAGCGGCACTGCCGGAGCGCGGGGAGGGGGACCGGCACCGCGGGGCCAGCCGCGCCGGCGGAGCCGGGGGGAAAGATGAGCTTGTTGTCAACCATCGACACCAGCGCCGCGCCCGTGTACCAGCCCGCCCAGCTCCTCAACTGGGTCTATCTCTCGCTGCAAGACACGCACCAGGCCAGCGCCTTCGATGCCTTCAGACCCGAGCCCTCCTCGTCCCAGCACCCCGACCTCGGCTACACCAAGAGCACCCCGGAGCTGGGCTCCTCGCTCAGCTCCAGCTATCTCAACAGCTTCTTCCAGCTCCAGCGGAGCGAGGTGAGTCCGCCGCGCCCGGCGCGGAGCCCCCGGCCCCCCCGGGCCACAACCGCCATGATGCCGCGGCAGCCTCCTGCCCCTTCCCCGGGCCGGGCCCGGGCCCGAGCCCGCCCGGAGCGGGGCAGCGCCCGCCGCGCACGCCGGGGCGGCTCGGCCGCCCGCGCGGGCTCCCCGTCCTGCCGCCCGGCCGGCCCCTTCCCGCCCGCCGCTGCCTCGCTGCCCGTCCCGCTAGCGGGCCGGGGCCAGGCGCCGCCGCGGCATTGGCGCGGCCGCCGCCGCCTCCCGCGCCCGCCAGCGGCGCGGGGCGCCCGTGTTGACAGTCTGGTCAATGGTTACACGGATTTCCCGTGCGCAGCCGGAGGGACGGGGGGCAGGACACGCGAAAAGTGCTACATCCGTCATAACGTGCAAAAATACCAGCACTGCCGCCGCCGCCACCCCCACTTTTCTTTTTTTCCCCCTAAAACGTTACTTTAAAAGCTTGATACAAGACAATATATGGCTTATGAGAGATCAAAGGCAGGCACTATTTGAAAGGAAGGAATATAAACAGGAACGTGATAAAACCAGCAAAAATGTTTTGTGCACGTTTCATAATGCAAAACAAGGCTAAATGTAACCAAAGGGAAGGAAGCTAAAAAACTGGGATATGCAAAGACAATTCGCTGTGGAACTCCCTGTCACAGGAAGTTGTTGAGGTCAAGCACTTCTGCATTGGAGGGGTTTCACATGTGTGGCGGTACTGCAAGGTGGCACCTCACACACCACAGCTCCCAGCCTCTCCAGAAAAGACCCAGCTACAGTTTGGCACCCTACTGTGGGACTCTTGCCGGAGGCATTCAACAGCGGCTTTGTTTGATATGGTCAGATGGACTATACATCCCAACCTGCTCTGGCACTTCCCACAGAACGATATTTCAAAGTCCTTCCAGCACCTTTTATGTTAAATGTCAACTTAAAATGTATTCTCAAAGTACACCCTTCTGTTCTCTCACAAAACTTATGGAGTTAATTAAAACTAAATCAAATTTCCCAAGTGCTCTTGTAATAGAGCTGCTAACAGTTGAGAGCCAAGTTATCCCTTTTCCTTTAATTAGAAATTCTTTCTTCTTTAAGAATTTAACAAAGCACATCCAATCTCAAAATAGGTACTATTTTTGAGAGTATGTAGTTCGAAACCCATTCAACCTAATTAAGTCTTATTAAGCATGATATGACATGGGCAGTTCAACAGCATATAGACCTAACAAGCAGACTGATTTTGCAAAAAGATTAGCAGGCAGTGCAGTTTAAATTATTAGCTACCTACCTGATGATGGCAAATTGTAGATTTTACCCCTTCCTGCTTGGATTACAAGCTTTATGGTAGCCAGGTACCAGCAAGACTCCAGGAGTTCAGCCAGCATGGATTCCAGACTGGGACTCTGTTCAGGCCCGTGTTTGTTGAAGTTGGGATACATTCTGCTCACAGCAGGTCCTTTATTTTTTGGGAGAAAAGGGAAGAAACAAGTAAATCGAGTCTGCATTCAGGAGGCCTTTGAAACAGTCTCTGAGAAACAGTTTTCTCTTCCTGACAGGTCCCTAAGTTCATTTTCGGCTTCTACTATACTCTGTGCAAGAAGGGGCTAATCCTTTTGTCACACTCCCTTTCCACTTGGCTCATAGTTCTTTCCATTTGCCCCCCTAACCTTTCTTCTGGAAAATAATTTCCCTGCTATGCCGGGCCTTCCTCAGGCCCCTGTCTCTGCCCCACCTCCAAGCAGTCAGTCCCCGTGCAGCCTCCCCCCAGCTGTGCTGTTTTCAGATCCCAGAAGTCACCTTCCATGTGGATTCCTATCATCCACAAACTGTAACTTTATTCTGCTCTTTTTAACCTCATTATAGTTTCCTGAGGCACATGAACAGCAGCAGCAACTGAGAATTCCAGCTCTGTAGAAAGCCAAAAACATTCACCATTCAGGAAATAAGAAGCCATTTCGTTCTATACATATATTTTACTATTTTTAAAAGATAAAGTATGTTAGTTTGTTACCATTCATTTTCGATGGAGACACTTCTGTGTTTCCAGCATTCACCTGAACTATGTTACAAGGTAACCTGAAAAGAGGGAAAAGAGCACAGCTATCTCCTATGGCATGGGAATGCACTGTTGGATATACCCTGTAGGAAGTAGGGAACCCTCTAATTTCCCAGGCTAACATTGCCTGCTTATACAGCATCTTTCATTCAAGGATTTAGAAGGTGCTAGAGACACTGTTGCTCAAAAGAAGTTCTGTCAATATGCTAGATGCTCTGTTCTTTCCAGAAACGGGAAACTAGGCTGCTTTTTGGCAGGAGTCACCCAAGAGTTTCCGACAATGCCATGCTCTTAATTCTTGAGATTCTAACATCTGTTTATTTGCAAATGCCATTGGGTATACAGTACATATTTCAACCACATACAATTATTTTGGAGAGCATTAGTACTGGGTGCTGTTTCTGCAGCAAGTGGGCTTGTGCTATCTTTGGAACAACACATAGCTTTCCACAGTCAAACTGTTGACTGTTTTCTACACAGTGCCTGCTTTGGTTGACATTTTTTTTCCCCCCTCACGGTTTTGTCCTGGGTTGGCTTAGCCTGGAGCCGAGCTGTGACAATGATTGACACATAGCTGTACACAATATTTGGAAAGTGACCTAATGAGCGTCCAAAATAGCAACAGATTGAAAAATGATAGGATCATAGGGTGTAAAATAGTTGTGTGTCCTGTATGTTGCTGTGCAATTGAAAATTTCTGGAGAAGAACACTTGGAATAAAAGACAGCATTTGTAAAAAGTTGCTATTATACAGGGTTTGCAAGTCTGCATGGCACTGCCTGTGTATGTGACTTGCATACTGACCAAAGGAACAGGACAGAAAAAAAATAAAAGTGCCAGCACCCACAGAGTAGTCTTGTACTTCAAGATTTTTGTCCTCCAGACTTTTTCCACTACAATGGATGCCTTCTAAATAAACATGATGAACACAGCTGTTTGGTGCATAAAAGCCCATTGTACCAAGAAAAAAACCACAATAATAAAGGTTTAAACAGTAAAGCAACAATGAGTGTTTTGTTCTGTATGCAAGACTCGTTTTGCAAAACAGACCTGCTTTAAACCAAACTTATGGCAGCATTTGTTGTCCTAGATATGAAATAAAAGCAAATTAGACCATTAAGATGCAATAAATTGGCCACTGAACTGAGCTCCACCCTCATTATAACACCATCCATCAGAGCCAAGTATTTGACACTTTGTTGTGAGGCTGGTTACACGGAATTTGACGCCTTTGAGATACATCCAGGTATCTGTGGCTTTGTCCTTGAGGGTTATAATTGAAAAATCTAGAGTACAGGGGCAAGAGACTCATATGGTATTTTTCTATACCAACAGGAGGCATCCTACCAGGTAATGCTGTCTTTGGCCAAGAAGAGACAGCAAGCAGTAACTAGAAATTATTATAACATAATAGTTATTTTTTTTCTCTACTCCGTGTCTTTCAAGAGCAAAATTCCTTCTAGAAACCTCCATGGCAGACACTTTCTGGATCTAAACCAGATTTTATTTAAGCACAAATAACTGCACATACTAGATGAGAAAATAATCACCATTTTCATGTTTCTGACTTGGAGACTTCCAGATCCAGTCCTCATAGGCAAGAGGGGAACTAACTGGGAATGAGAGCACACCAGCTAGTTCAGTTTGCTCAGTAAAGTATGGATCACTTGCTTGGAAAGAAAAATGTGTGGAGTTAAAAAAAGTTCAGAGTGTGCTGTGGAAAATAACATTCAATCTCTGTGAAACAAGCAAGTCTAAAGCACTGGGAAAGATTAGGTAACTTCCCAAAGAAGATAGTGACATTCATAAGTTAACAATGAAAACTGATGAAACACTGGAAGAACAAAAATGTAGGGAAGGAAATTGGTGGTTCTATCAGACAAACTTGTTGTCCATCTGTCTTTCATAGAATTAGGGGTGAACATACTAGGCTGATATTTGATGAAGAAAGATCTGTTATTTGGCCTAGATAAAGTAATTTGGAGGATAATTATAAGATTTAAAAAAACTCAATTCGCTTGGTATCAGAAGAATACAAGGATTGCTATAGCACATCAGCCTTGGTTCCCTGAATTAAATGCAGTATTTTTGAGAACAGTCGTGATTAAAGGATTTAAAAGAGAAAAGCAAATGCCTTTTAAGAGGCTACTCACAACCAGTATGGTCTGAAGGTAAACTCAACAGAGATGCAAGTTAGCAGAAATTGTCATATGTTCCAAAACAGGTCTAATTTGTTTAATTTTGTGTAACATTATCAGTTATTCTAACACACAGCAAGTTTTTGATCCACAGGGTGAATGTGCTAGGCACTCAAGTGAGGACTTCTTGCTTTCTCAGCTACAGACTGATATAGCAGCAGTCTACAGTCCCTGAATATGTCCTTTAATAATAATGATTATTATTTATTTCCTAATTCTAATTTTTTCTCACTATTCTTTATTTCAGTACCAGCATTGGAGTGCCCTTAACCTTCTCCAAATTTTATTGAAAGTGCACTAGGATAACAATTCCTGTGTTGCAGGAACTTGTGTTCTCTGCCTCAGGATGATTGTACACTACCAATAGTTTATGGCAACTTAAAGTGCCAGACAAGTAATTCCAAAATGCTTTTCAGGAAGTTGAATGTCAATTCTCACATCAGACCTCATAAGAGAATCCAGAGAGCTGAATCTCAGAGGACAACATGCATTTGGAGATCTTGGCAAGACCAGCCTCTATTCTCTCAGCACAGCCAGCTCCAGAGCCCTTTTCAGGACGCTGCCTCAGCACACAAAGTGCAGCTCTCACAGCCCACTGTACACTGGTCTCAAAATCTTAGATCCTATTACATGTATTTGAGCTAATAACTATTCAGTTCCTAATTCCAATTGGACATATGCTTTAAAATCCAAAAATTTAGGCGTTCTTATCTGTTCTTATCTCT